GTTTGTTTCAAATGTTGTTCATTTACACCTCAGGGCCACCGTAGGAAACACGTCAGCCATGTTCAGCTAACGTTCATAGTTCTGACGTCTTGCTGAAAACAAAAATGCAATTTTTGTTTCTGCAGTAACAAAAGTAAACTTTTTATTATGAGGTGTTGTTCAGAGGTCTGAAGTGTCTTTTAAAAGACGGAAGCTGTTGAGGCCATGTTTAATAAATGCTTTCATGCTGCATAAGTTGTAAAGAAAACCAAGTCTGTCCTGTTTTATTCAGATGAAATGACGGAGACTAAATCTGGAACCGCGACCCCTCACCGCTCCGGGTCTGTGAGCAACTACCGCACCTCTGTAAAGAACGATGTAGACGTGGCAGATGTTTTAGCCACATCTAGCTCTGTGCAGCCCACCAAGACAGCCGAAGGTTCCTTAGGGTCATCCTTGACCTCGTCCATCGATTCAACGGGAGGCTGGGACATCACGTCGTCCCCTCGACCAGGAAGTCACACCATCGAGTTCTTTGAAATGTGCGCAAACCTAATTAAACTACTTGCACGATAGCTTGCAAAACAATCATTGCCAGCCTTTTCTTCTCTGAGTGTCTTTATAGCAATAAGCATGCAACCAATTCATGGCTTACTTCATCCTGGCTGAGGATGGAGAGATTGTTCCATGGTGCTGGTGCAGGTTGGTGTTCCCTAATCTGTAGGGGAGTATACTGGGCTGACTGGGTCTGTAGGAATTCATCAGAATGAGCTACTAGCTAGGACAGAACATTTTACAAGGGAGGGGGGGTGGTCCTAAAAATTTCCCGATTAGTTTAACAGCAGGCGTCCATATCCCACCCATGACCAGTGAACGTTCTGCGCTGTTGGCCGCGAGGCGAGCGTCTCCGTGCAGAGAACCAGATCACGTTTGCTGCAACACGTTGAGAACCAAGTGTCATAGGATGCAGGAAGCACTTTGCACAAGTTTCTGTAATTTTCTGCTGCTTGTTTTTGTTTTGTTTGTTTTGTTTTGTTTTGTTTTCCTCTCAGTAGGGATCAGAGAAGTGGCGCAGAAAGACGGGGGCGCTGCAGCGACCCGTGTCTTTCTGCCACGTGTCGGGGACAAACGGGCGCTTCACCAGACGTGCGTTGGGTTTTTCAGGTTTTGTTCTTCAGCGTCAGACGTTCATGGTTTTGTCCTTGTTGTGAACAATTGTTGGAAAGTGTCTGTCCCCGTACATTTTTATACATACAAACGTGAACATATTTATCAATGCGTTGTGGTCGAAATTTTTGGTTCTAATGGACTTTTTTTGTTGTTTTTTCTCATTAATCTGCTGGATGATTAAATATATATGTATAGTCTTTTCCTCCCATTTTACTGTTTTTAAGTCTGTCAGTTTTGTTTTCCCTCAATCACAATTATTCTGAAACTTGATTGTCTTTTCTAGAAAACTAGTCAGATTTGACCTTTTAGATGTTTTGCTATGACAGTCAGAATCTAGAGTTATATCATTTTCAGTGTAGTGTTTTAAATGACAGGTTGATTGACTTTTTTTTTTTTTTGGATTAACGAACTTAAATTTGATAACTGAGCGAAATGCCTTTTGCCTAAGTTCATTTCATAAATGCCAATCAGTCTCAGTTTCCAATGAGTAGTAGCAGTAATGTGTCGACGGTGTCTGTTGCCAGGTGACTCGTTTTGCTTCTTGCCCACACGTTCCTTTAGAAGGTTGACCCAATATGTTCAAACTCCAAACAAACGTGCGAGCTTGAAACGTTCAGGTACTGTAAATGTTGACGGAAACAAAACTTCTAGGAAATTAAACCGGCGGCAGATTATATTTGATAAAAGTTTGTCAGAACAATAAACTTCCAAGTTGAAGGTCTAAAATGTGTTTTTTTAGCTGCGGTGCAACTCATTCCATTTATTTTCCACAGTCTTAAACGTTTTCTGAGGGTTCTGCCTTATTTTTGTGTTCAGTATGATTTCGTTGCTGGTCAGAATTATTTAATTTTGCCATTTTTAAAGTTGAAATCCACATTTTATGTCATCAGTCAGTTTAAAAGCACCGTCGGTAAAAATTTTTTTTTTTTTTTTTTTTTTTGTCATTTAGGGAAAGTAATCCCTAATTGTATGTTGCCAGACTTAATGAGTACAACTATTTTTATTAATGACAATAGAAGACAAAAAAAGTGAAATTGGTTTCTATAGACTTATTTAATCTTTGTATTTAGGAATGTTGCACATTACTAATGAAAGACCTAAAGTTTGATTATTTTTTATTTTATTTTAAGTGTCGGCATTTGAAGTATAGCTACCAAGTTTTGACTTTCTACAGTTCTAAACTTTAAACCAATATTATGCACAATTTTGATTTTAGAAGTTTATTTAAAAAAAAAAACCCTGCTAAGACTATAATTGTGATCATGTTTTTGTGTACTGTACAACAAGCTTGACCTAAAGTATTTTAGTTGACTTTTGAGCTTCATGTCTCAGTTTTAACCAGAATTGGAAGAAATAATAAAGACTCGTTGTAGAACTTTTATTTTTACTTTAAGAGGATTACTGCAAGTGTTGCTGACGATAACTTGCCGTGCTTTATCTCATGGGTTTTGTTGGAAAAAGTGAATGTGTGGAAAATTAAAACTTTTTGCCAGCTTTTGACAAATAAAGTGTCCTAGAAAGCTGTTTAGTTCAGCGTCTGATCAAACAGCTTCAAATATTGTTCTGTTTTTGTTTGGTGTGAAAGGGGAACCTAAAGGATTGATCATTGAATGGAAAGCGTTGAGTCATTTGTATACACAAAGACATAATAAACTGCTAATAAATTACATGTTGGTGTTTTGAAACTTCTTTTTAAAGCTGTTTTTTTTTTAGTATTCTGAAGAGAAATTATGAACCTATAACTAAAACAATTAGAAAAGACAATTTGTATAAATAAAGGTTGAATGAAAAAACTTAATTTCTATTATGTCGATGAGTTCAGCTACGTTAAATTTACATAAAACTATTTTTACATTTAGTTTCTACGCAAGACTAATAGTTAAAGTGGTCTTGAGCAAAACTCAAGGGATGATTCAATTGTGTCTACACAATAACTTAAACAGAATTTTTTTTTTTAAATACCCAACAATAAAAAAAGGGTAGAATAACTTAAATATTGTAACCGACATCCATCTTTAAAATGCTAAACATATGTAGTAAGGATTAAAACAAAATAATTGTAAAACTTCTAATTCATTTAAATATTTTACAGCCTTTCTAACGTCTGCGTTCGATTTGAGTAGTTTAAACTTATTCTTTTTTTCCATAATGGTAAAGCCGGAGTTTATTTACACTAAAAGTATGGAAGCGAAAGCGTCTCAATTATCAAATTAAAATGGATGAATAGAAATGCTTTTCATTTTCAAAATAAAACTGCATTTTTTGACTCATAAATGAAATTATTAATAAACTGTGTTTTCATTTTCATGCCCACACTGCTCATTGTAGAGAAAACTATAAGAGGAAACTGTGTTTTCATTTTTATGCCCTGCTCCCGCAAAAAGTGTTCCAAAAAATCAATTTGGATTTGCATTTCCAAGTGGCACCAGTGGGTTCAAAATGGGATCCTACTGGTGGCTCAGCTGGTTAATAAGGACGACTCACCTACAATGAATTCTGCTCACTATCCCAGTTAGTCTCCAAGAATTCTCAGTGGTGGTTAGCGCTATACCCTCATGCACCTTCATGTTGTTTAAAAGCACCAACAGTTCTCTGTCTACTCCACTTCCTGTCCCTGGTCCAGCTGAGTCATCACTTTTCACAGCAGCGTGGAAACAAGAAGAAGAGAAGACGCAGAGTGTTCCATAAGGCGTCGCTTCTCGTCCATATAAAACATCTTACTGGAGCATCCCAGAAATCAACTGGAAGAGTCTGGATGACCACCCCATAAATATTTAAATGTAAATAAGGTGAAGGAAGTGCCATTTTAAATTCTTCACAAAATTTACCCCGCTGAACATTATATGATCAAATTGAAAAGAGACATAAATATTGATTGCAGTTTTTGTGGTGACCTTCCAGAAACTGACACATCTTTTTTTTTTTTTGGCACTGCCCTTTCACACGCAGGTTTTGGAAGGAGTTTAGCAGATTTATTAATAATATTTGAAGGAATTTGTCCTTACACTGGGAAAATGTCTTATTTTTTTTATTTTTAATAATAAACTTGCTAATTCTTTTGGCCAAATTTTACATTCATAAATGTAAATTTACTAACAAAACGCCATGCTTGGACTAAATGAAGAATTATTCATTGGCAACTCTGACCCATTTTTAAGCAAAATAACAAATGTATTAGTGAATTAATCATTTGAGACTGTATCAGTAAACTGTGTTCTTCTGGGATAATTCATTTAATGATGTTTGTTGGAAAAATGTTTGGTTGTTGCCTAGAAAATATATCATAACTAATAAGATTCGAGAAGTGTCTCTAAAGATTCTGCATAAATGTTATAATTGTATAATCTCCAAGTACCGTTCTCTCTGCCACAGCTCTGAGGAGACCATCACCATCTTTTCTGGGACTGTCCTTATACTCAGCTGTTCTGGAAAGACATTTTCTTGTTTGTGAATAGAAAGTTAGAACTTGACCTACCATTTGACGCTAAAACTATATTGTTCTTTTTTGTTTTTTCATTTGAATATTCCAAGTAAGAAAGTTTTTGTTGTAAATTTAATACTAATATTAGATAAATTTCACATCCATAGCTGTAAATTTGCCATGCAAAAACCTAGATTTATAGTTTTTTCTACGTATCTTTCTTTGTATGTGTCTACTTTAAAGTATTGTACCAATGCAAAAGCCATAAAAACGAAAACATGTAACTATTGTAAACTGCACAAAACATATATATATATATATTTTGTTAAGCCTGCATTAAATCTCAAGGTATGTGTGCCATTGCAGTTTTTTTTTTTTTTTTTGTATTTGTTTTGTATAAATAAAGACAAAAAAATAAAAACGCCCTGTCTTACGCATCTTGTCCGGTAGGGGGCGGTAATGAACAGGAAAGCCCAAGCAGCTGATTCCAGCTGCAGCTCCTCTTAAAATGATGATTAATATTATATTAGTTAGCAGCTGTGGTGCAGACTGGACTTGGTGATTTCACGCTGTCTCTACACACAATCTTCACGTAAGAAGGAAAGACTAAACATAATGACAAAATATCTGGGTTTCCCTCCTCCACTTAAATATAAAGAATTACATTTCAAGACTTTAAATAATATGTATCCTTCAAACGAGTTGATCATAAATAGATTTAAAATTGAATGTGATAACTTTTCTATATGTCAGGAACCTGAAACAACAGAACATCTGTTTTATTTCTGTGATTCTGTGAACACGTTATGGAAATCCCTTCACGATCTTCTGACCATAAAATCCACGACTCCTTCTCTCTTCAGAATGTCTTATATGGATATGTATCTGAAAATAAAAAAAGATTTGTTAATAACATTATCATAATCTTAAAATTCTATATACATAAGTGCAGACGTGGCAAATCTAAGCCATTGTGTCTGTATTCATAAGAACTCCAGATGTTAAAACTTTCATTAGACAGTGCTAAAAGAAACACAAGCAAAACAGCTCTGTGATCACCTCGCTCAGATATTATAGCCCTCTGACAAATTATTTGAATAATTATGTAGAATGTTAGATAAATAGTTCTGTTTTGATTTTACTTTTATCATATCATTTGCTAATTTTCTGATAGGCTACTAATAATGTTACTTAAACTTAAATTTGTGCTGAATAATGTTCATTTGTTTAAGCATATGTTGACCTTAGAAGACAAAGGATTGGTTTTTTTTTTACATGTTTATATATGTATAATATTGTAATTTGAGATTGTCACTTGTTCTTGAGTTCTGTTCTGTTGTTCAATAGTTCAATAAAGTAAAAATAAAACACACAATCTTCGCGCTCTCATCTGTCACTTAATTTTTGTAAAAAAAAAAAAAAAAAGACAGATTTGTCACCTGAAGAACTTGTTGAATTCAACAATTATTTGATGTTACTGTAGTTTTTAACCCTTCTGGGCTTTCCTCCTCATCAGCGCCCCCTAACGTACAAGATGCGTAAGACAGGGCGGTGTGAGGCGGCAAGAGCTGCTACTGACGTCACTCTCCTGCGCCACTTGGAAGTGCGAATCTTTTTATTATTACTATTAATACTAAGAAAACTATTTAGCAAAAACAAGTACAAACAGTAACTCTAAAAGGGCATAGCAGAGGCAGACTTCGATATGAAAAAAGAAGAAATAAAATAAAACAAACTAGAACAAGGGGTTATATTTCATTCAACCTTTATTTTTACATGTTAATCCCATTGAACCTCGAGGACTCATTTACAAGAGAGACCTGATTTCAACAAAGAATGATGACAACAATGGACAATTGTAAAATAAACATACAGATAAAAAATAATAATAATTAAAATAAGATGGCAAAAAATAGCTAGATTATAAGGCGAATGTATGTTTTAGGATTAGGATTAACATGCATTAGTGGGCAATTCCATTAACATTTCATACAGGTCTTTATGTGTTTCAATATATTTCAGAGATTTCAAATATAATAGGAATTCAGATTTTAAAAAATGCTAAAAACTGGGGATGATTTTAGCACTTTCTGTTTATGAATAAATATTTTTGCCAGACAAAATATCAGATTACAACCGAGTTCCATTTTTTTGTTTTTCCAATAATACTCCAAATGTTCATGTCTCTGGAAATAGATTCAGGAAGTGTAATTTTCAGTGAGATCCATCTTTGTAAGTGATTCCAAAATATTTCGGTTTTGCTGCATTCATAAAAGATATGATTTATCGTTTCTATATCCTGTTCACAGAATGAACATTTATTGTCATCAATATTAAAACAATTTCTTAGTAGCTCTTTGGAGGGGTAAACTGCATTTAAAAATGTTAAAGTGTGTTTCTTTAGCCTTTGGTTTTATGGGGCATTTTAAATGTTCTTAACATTTCTATTGATTTTTTGTAAAAATTTGCAAAGTATGTTATTTTTATTGATTTTCCCAGGGAATAAGGTTTCATTCAGACAGCTTCTAATTGTGTGGTTGTTGAAATTTTTGTCAGTAAATGATATTCTATTAATAGATAGGAGTGGGTAATCGTGGGGTTATAGGATGATATGCTATTATATTTTGAATCAGATTAATAAATTGTTCTGGTAATGCTTTAAGTAATCTGGTAAATTCAATTTATGGGGGATATAATTTATATTCTACACAGAATTGTTCATATTAACATGTAACCATTAGTGTCCATTAAGTTACAACAGACCAAATGTTCCTCTCCATCCAACCTTTGTAAAGTAAGGATTTATTGCGATATAGTACAAATCTGTTCTTCCATATGACAGTGGAGTGTAGTAATTATGTACGTAGAGCATTTTCCAGTATAACACTTGTTTATGGAGCTCTTATAATTTGATGGGCAATTTATGTATATTGAAATCAGCTAGTAGTTTTAGACCACCCGTTTTGTTAAATATTAAATATATAATTGGGGACACAATACCAAAGTGATTCAGAACTTTTGAAAATCGAATGCTAAACGCCGTTTATCATTATAATTAATTTACAAAGTGAGCAGTCTTGAAGACCAAAATGAAAAAGCAGTTTGGATTGTTCATTTTTAATTTTATTTACGAGTCAACACATGCAGCTTTATTTAGAAAATGAAAAACCATTTTAAATTTGATCATTTGAGACACTTTTGCTTCCATATAAAAGCACCAAGACGCTGACAGATGTCCACGTAGACCAGTAGAAATGTTCTCGCCACGCTGTCTGTGGAGTTAAACTAAGGACTTTCAGTGTTTGCAGTCAGTTCTTGTGGTCTGTGCTGAAGCTGAAGGGTTTATCGTAGCCCATCAGATGGTTGTAGTCCTGAGGAAAGGGGAACAGGTCTGGGTTCACCAGGAGCCCCACCCGACCCCCATAGAAGGTGGTGAAGATCTTGCTGACGGCGGGGATCTTGACCTCCTTCTGGTGGAACACGCACCTCTTCTCAGTCAGGAAGACGCTGTAGGTGATGGCGGTGTAGGTGTCCGTGTCCGGGTTGTAGTACAAGCGGATCACGTAGCTTTTGCACATGAAGTGGAGGAGAACAGGAGTCAGAAAGGTGAAGACACCAATGACGCTACACATCAACACCTGCAGGGCCAAGTTATCGACTCCCAGTCCGGAATGTAGGAGGATCTGCGGCATGATGACCAGGCTGGCACCACTGGTGGTGTAAGAGAAGAGTTTCACCCCTCGCACAGCAGAGCCCAGAGTTCCAGAGTAGATCAGGTCCCCGTCATTTGAGGGGGACACTGCGGACAAACATCTGGTGGGGGGACAGCTGGATGGGATCTCACTGCGGGGGAGAAGTGACCTCCTGCCGGCGTGACGCAGCCAGAGTCCGCCGGTTCTAAAGCCGGAGAGTAGCACCGCGGGCCGGCCGGCAGTCAGCCGGACACAGTGAACAAAACTGTGGAGCATTTTTACACACACCGAGTCCGACCTGACCGTCGCGCTTCATTGACGTCACACCGATTTTAAAATAGACCGGAAAAACTTTGATAGCTTCCGGGTTATGTGACATTCACGTACAGTTGACATTATGATAACCAAATTTGGTTTCGCGTCTTCATTCATAGTATGTCGTTACTGTATTATCTTTTGCTTATCTTAATGGAAGCCGATTTAAATAAATTATTTTAACAGTTACGGAGTGGAACCTTAGCGAAACGAAAGTTTTGCTACTCATGTAAAATCTGGTCAACACTATAATCATTCGCACATAGTCGAATGCGCTTATTACAGGTGTCACACACCGGTAGTTGTTTCTTAACGAATTCTACGGTGATGCGTAATCCGGAATGATGCAAATATGTAGTTAGTTATTTGTTAAAGAAAACTCAGAAAGTTATTTTTTAAACTTAATGCTATATCCGATACTTTGTTTAGATCATGAACGCACCATTAAAGGTCGCAAAAATGGCTGCCAAATAGTTTTTACAAGCGACAAACAAGCGGACAGCAAAATGTCAGTATGTTTACAACTATTCTGCGCATTCGACTGATATTCACATATCTTTACACGTTCAGCTGAATTAAAATGCAATAATGTTAAGCTCTAGAATAAAATATTAGTTGCTAGACTGTCCTGTCAAAGCTAATGTACTGTATTGTTTTTATGCTAAGTTATAGTGATTATGTACTTCGTTTGACACCCGCTGAAACCAGTTATTACTGATTTTTAGCATACAGATGCTTTTGGCCACATTTTTATTTTTAGAATAACATTTCAGGAACGCAAATGCAACATTATTTGCTGAAGACCGCACTTTAAAAACAACAACAACAACTTTGTTTTAACAGCATGGCTTCGTTTGGCTGGAAGAGGAAAGTGGGTGAGAGGGTGTCCAGGTCTGTCGTCCGGCAGTTTGAGGCCGAGCAGGAGAAAGCCGAGGATGGTGGAGGGAGTCGGGGTGAGGAGGAGGAGGAGGTGGACTGGCTTCACGCCGTCAAACGGCGCCGGGAGGTTCTGCTGGAGGACTGCGCTGCAAAGAGCAGGAGGCTGAAGGATGAGGGAGCTCTGCTGGCTGAACAGGGCAGGTCAGGGCACAGAAGCACCACACCTGCTGCAGATGGGACACACACATTGATGGTTGTTAAATGGTAAATGGACTGTACTTATATAGCACCTTTCTATCTCATAAAGATACTCATAGCTCTTTACACTACAATCTGTGTCCTCATTTACCCATTCATACAGCACTCCACTAAATCTACAAAGAATAATCAGAGCTTTATCACATTCATACACCGATGGGACAAACATCGGAGGCTATGAGGGGTTCAGTGTCTTGCCCAGGAACACTTTGGCATGTGACTGCTGGTGGAATCGAACCCCAGACTCTTGCAATGGAGGACGACTGCTCTAACCACTCAGCCACAGCCGCCCACGTTAACACGTTTGGTCCAGCAAATCACAATTTCAATTAAGTGCTTTTACTTACATCCTCCCCATTATGTATTAAAAATCTGCTCTACAGCCAGAAGGAAGGAAATATACACAAATATACTTACAGAAGGAAATATAGCACTTTTTATTCATTGCTAACTGTTTTTTATTTTATTTTACTTAAGTTTTTCTCACTCACTTAGTTTTATTGTATTAAATGTGGAAATGTGTCTCAAAATGATTGGTTTAGTTTAAAAGCAACTTCTTTTTATTATTGTTTTATCTTTGGAGCTTGCACATTTTCTGGTATTCTTTCAGAGTTTCATCTGTAACATCTTGGACAGGAGTCTGCAACTTCTATGATCAAAAGAGGCATTTCTGCCCCTTTGCTCACTAAATAAAATGTGCATGGAGCTGCAAAACTCATGGTCCACTTCAAGTTTGTTGGAGGGGGCTTTTCTGTCCAGTAGGGGTTACATTATAAAAGTCAAAATGCCTAATTATTATGTTAATATTTATCAATATTTTTACATTTTAACACGAAAATAACAGATTCTTGTAAAGAAGGAAACAAAATTATAGTTTTCACCAATTTTACTAAACTTAAAGTACTGAACTATGCAAGCCTATTTGAGTTTTTTTTTTTTAAATGGAAATTTTAATCAAGTATCCCTCTTCAAAGTAATACAAATTCTGGTGGATTTAAGAGAAATATCACACGGTAAGACTGGAGGAAGTCAACTAAAAGAAGTGGCTAACAAACTAACATGATGCAGTCAGCATGTTTTACTCCTTGTATCGGTAATGTCATTCACATATTTGCACAAAAAAAAAATGGCAGGAAAACTACAAAACTAGTCCTGTTTTTAGTGACGGACAAATGAAGCTTTTCTGAAGCGCTGAAGCTTTTTGAAGCTTGAAGCGTTTCAACACAGTCCTCTTTGGCGATGTATTGTGGCCAAAAGTATAAATAGAAGCTTGAAATTGAAACCACACAGCATGAAATGAACCTTCGTTGTGGTTGTCCAACCAACAGCTGACAGCTTTAGTTTAATATCCTGAGACATTTCTCTCAGAATTTGAGCTGTCATTGAGGTGCTTTGAACTTTTTTTTTTGTAGGTGAAAGAATAAAGTTCTGATTATTTGATGAATGAATAATTTTGATAAATAAGCATGTTTAAACGTGGCATGGTACGATGCCCATTGGCTTGTGACTTCTTGACACTTGTAAACAAACAAACAAACAAAAAAAAAAATATATATATATATCTAATTCACAACACAATAAAGTCTGGAATGACGTTTGTGCTGCAGGTTTCCTTCCATGACTTTATGTAATGAACCGGTTTATATTTACTCTGTGATCAGATTGTGTTTTTACAAAGTTTTTTTTTTTCTTGGGAGCACTTATGAACTGATAAACACATAAAACACATCAGGCTGGTTGGCTCCATGTCTCGCTGTCACTTTCTGGTTTGTTACATTTTGCACAAACTGCGCCACCAAAACACGCCACACATCTGGCCAGTGATTTTCTTCCTAAAGCTTTGAATCGGGTACCAAAGCAGTGATGTCACGTCAGCACTTTCCAAGCTTCACACGTCATTGATCACATGACTTTTCCAAAAGCATCAAGCTTCAGAAACGCTGTGTTGTTGTTTTATACATGCCCCGGAGCTTCAGCTTCATCACTTTGCTGTTGGTATAACGAGCAATATGTTTTTGTTTTATGTTTGGTTTTTGTCGAAGCTTGAAAGAGTCACTGCAGAGGGACTAAAGAACCACATGTGGCCCGAGAGCCGCAGGTTGCAAACTCCTGATCTAAGACATTAATTCAATTTCACTTCAGTTGATTTATATAGCGCCAAATCACAACAAAGTTGTCTCAGGGCACTTTACAGGAACATTCACTTAAAAGCCAATTAGTAAAGTTCTCTATCTAAGGAATCATTAGACATGTTTCTCTACTTTATAACTAAATTTGACCTGTTGACATAAAATGGTGTGGCTAATTCACAGAGCTATTTACACATAAACAAACGTGTGGTTATTTCTCCACATGAGGGCACCATTGCACATTTAAACTATTTCCCCACAGCTAATGGAGCCTACTTGTTTTTATTGAAACAAACTTTCAAGAACTCCTTAAATTTAAAAGAACAGAAAACATCAAGCTGTCAGTGTTTAAGATTTTTTTGTGTGTGCACTTGATTTAATGGCTTTTCTGTGAAATATAAGATTGAATCGGTTAAACATGAGACAACATTTGTCCCTCTGGCTCGATAAACATGATTATTTTTAGATTTATGCACTGGGTTTTGTTTATAAGTAAACATCCAGCACAGTGTCCTTCTGCTGACTCTGGAGCAGAAAGTTATGAGAATATTTTAATATGTTTTCGCCTATAATCCGATCCTAAACTTCTCGACCTTTTCGAAACCAAATAACTACTTTGGGAAACTTTTTTTTTAATTACAAAGGATGTGATGTTTTGACCTTTCGTGGATGCTGTAATTGCATTTGCTGAGAGAAAGTGGATTTTCTTTGGGAAATGTTGACTTTGTGCTGCTGAATGGCTACTTGGAGGTTTGAGGTGGTGTCTGGCCGTGGACGTCACTGATGAGGTTTATGTAGTTGCTACATCATTGATCTGTGACGTTCCTATCACAAAGCTCTAGATGCTTCTGATGTAAGCAATGACTTGATGTTTGATCTGAGGCCCTTGTTAGTCATTGTCTGCAGTTCAGGATGATTTAACTCTTTGTTTGTCCTTGTTTTTAATCTGTAGACTCCACTCAGATTTATTGACATCACTTTACTGAACACATCTAATATATAGGCAGGTATGGAGTAAATGTATTATAAAGTTTTTGCTGTACGTTATAGGGGTTTTACTTTAGTTGTGCAACATCTTGTTTCATTTCAGATTAGCATCAATCTGTTAGTAAAATATCACTTGAACAAGTGGACACATTTTAATGAAACTTTCAGTAATAATTGTTGGAGGGACATCTGCACTGATCAACTTTGGAGTCACCCCAATTCGATATGGCCGCCACAGCTAGTCGACCTTCGTAAACCCAAAAATGGCTGTAACTTGGTGAATTTAAAGAAGTTGAGCTAAGATTTGGTGAAGTAGTAGCTGAGAGTCATCCCCAACAAATACCTTGAGCACTAACCGATTGCACAAGGTCTTTGTTTAAAACTTTGGCATGCAAGGCGTTGGATGATATGCAATTCTTCTGGTTTTAGGGATGTTTTATGTCGTTGTTTTAGACATTTAGAGTTTTACTGAGTCACATCAAGGTTCAAATATTTAGTTGATTAGTTCTTTTGTTTTGTCAGGTTTTCCATGCTGAGACTACAATACTGGAAGTGTCTGATTTCACTTGAGATGTTCCCCAGAAGTTATGAATCAACTTGTCAGGTGTTGTCAGCAATACTCCCACAGACAGCATGTCTGTTAGAAACATTTATTTTTAATGTTGTCAAATGATCATAGTTTCTCACTCATTAACTCTTCTCAGTATAAGTTGATAAGCTTAGTCTTTCTTTACACTGTAAATCAGTTTTTGCTTGTATCATCGAAACAGGCTCTATTTTATTGCCCCTCTTTTGTGTCTTCCTTTCAGTCCATTTTTTGGCTGACACACAGATAAATGTGATCCAACAGGGGGTAGTTGTTCTCACATGGCGTATTGCTTTATTTCCTTAAAGGACTTTGCAGTGGTTTTTGCTTTATGTAAGATTTTCACAAAACTTTAGTTTTATTTCCTTAGTCAGCTGAGCTCTCTCCTTTAATGCACTGTCAGGCTACACTTTTGGTTTCAGTGATCAGTGTCAGTCGTCTTGTGTGGTTTTTCAGAACAGCTGTCTTTTCAGGGCAGTTTACAGTGAAGCTCTCAGCTCAGACTGATAACCTTGTTCTGTGTGTCTTGTCGGGAAGACAGCAGACAGATCGTGTTGACAGTAAAGGCCCTGTCACACAAACGTTGTAGAGAATTTGTGTTGACATATGCAGTTATTCAACATGCAGGCTAGGCCTGTCGTGATGAGCAATAAATCAGTTAATCGCACGATAAATGAAAATTATCGACCTCATTTTCATTTATCAGCTTTATCGTTTCTTCGTGTCCCTCTCTTTCTACTGAAGACACTGGATGACAAAAGGATCAACTCCGGTGCTCTTCACAGTCCCCTCCCTTTCTCTTTTCTCTTTAAAATCTGTTTTAACCGTCCAAATTTGCACACTTGGATCATTAAAAGCAGCTAAGCTACAAACTAAGCTAACAGGCCGACCTCGAGGAAAAAAACTCGGTTTTGTCAAAGCTCCAAAATTCACGGTTGAAACCCGTGCCTTCGTGTTTTTCTCTGCAAAAAGAAGCTGAGAACCTGTTTACTGATTTTTTTAATTAAAAGCTTTGTGTGATCAATGCTATGCTGAAGAGCTCAAACCACACAGCATTCGCCATATTGAGAACCGAAGAGAGACAGCCCATGTCACGTCAAGGGGCCTCCCTCCCATTTTTCTTAACAGACATGCTGCTCGCTCTCTCGCTATCCACCCTTCGGTTCAGACAGTCTTGTACTGCCATCCAGTGGTCAAAAAAGTACTACACACAAAAATTAACCAACATTTCTTCTTAAATTTGACATTAATTACTAATTATTGTCAAATTTCAAATAATATCGTTTGTCGCAATAATTTCTGAGACAATTAATCGCCCAGCAAAATTTGTTATCGTGACAGGCCTAATGCAGGCATACGCTAAAGATGGAATAAAAAAATCAACTGGAAGCCTCTTTTGTATGTTTACATACTGTACTGCTAACATGTTGAACAAATATATATATAACTTATAACCCATGAGTAACTTAGCCTTAATTTATCTATAACTTATATAAGTGTATACAATTGTTTTTTGATTTATGCCGAGCTTATGATCAACATTAGTGTAATCTATGTAGAGCATGTTGGAGTGGGCTGCAGCGAGGACAGCTGTCACACAGGAACGTTTAGCATCACGGTATAAAAAAAAAGTCAAACACTCCGATGTAAGTCACAAGTTTTAAAGAAGTTACCGGCACGCTGTCATATGTCAATGCCAGTCACAAATTTTGCATATGCACACATTTTATAGTGTGTACGTTAGACATAAGTTACAGGAATACAACAGGTAAGTTTTGCATAAGTTCACACATGTTACATTACATGTATGTTACTCATGTCTTGACATACATAAGAAACTAGATGGGTAGTTGTGAAGCATAGATGTAACTTGTTTCTCAGCTATGAGCAACTTACGCCTTACATATCTGTAACTTGTATCAGACGTGTCCACAACGTGTTGTAATTTGTACCTGTAAAGGGTTAATGCTCCAGGTTCCAAAGGGAGTGGGGTGCTATGTATAGGGAGATAAGAGGAGGAGCGGGATGAGGAGAGTGCGTGAGCACCAGGAGTAAATACCTCTGTTTACATTGGGTCCAGCGTGAGTTGCGGCTGTGACAGCGTCTCATGTTCTCTAGTTTTTTGTTGTTAAATTAATAAAGGTTCTGAAAGGGCACAGTCGGTTCTGGTTGACGTTCTTTGCATGCTGAGGAGCATTACAGTATACTGTATTGACATATTCAACATATAGCTGATGAACTTATAACGTTTTATAACTTACAGTTAGTGTATTTGCCAGTGTTTTGGGATTCAGTTATATATAAGGTACAAAAGGTGAAAAACTCATCACTCCTGCTGGATCCATGAGGTACAAAGATCCAAAACTATCACTACAGAGATGGAGGATCTGGCTGCCGCTTTCTTGACAACAGATTTCCCAGAGTTCTCATCTGTCACATATATAAAATTTATACCTTAATTATGCAACTTTCACCAGCATGTTCGTCTTTTTATTTTGTTTGTTGACATACACTGATGCTATACGTCACTGCTGACAGGGGCTTTAGATGTTCTGCTTCATCATACTGAGCATGGAGTTCCCCCAAGGATGTGTACTCAGTCCTTTGACTTTTACTCTGCTGGTACATGACTGAGTTACTATATTCAGCATGAACAAGCTTATTGCACTTGCTGATGTCACAACAGTGGTGGAATTGTTCAGTTAAAAAAAAAAACCTAAACAAAGTGTGTCATACGAAAGTGTATTAGCAAATGGCACTCTTTCACACCAGTATGTTGTTTTTGAAAAAGAGTTGTTTTTAAGTTTGCAAAACAATAAAAAATGGCTGCTCGTTTGGCTAACTATGGCCTAGCTTAGAGGAAGACTTCTGCCTTTTACTCCTTTATGCTTCATGACTGATATCACAGCTGATTAGGTACTAACTATTTGACAAAACTTTACTTTAAAAATAAAAACCTGTTGTAAACTGGAAAATTATACTAATCCATTGTATCAAAAACAACCAATGTGCGCTTCAGCTTCATTCCTCAGTTGTTAAGACTGCTGATGCTTAAGATAAGATAGAACTTTATTGATCCCGCCGATAACATTTTACCACACCACTGGACAAGAAATGCTTCATTGCATCACATAGCTTTAATACAGTGTAAATGAAATGGTAAAATAATTACTTTGTCCTATTATATCTGATGTAAAAAAAATGTTTTGAGTGTATTGACTTCAGGAATGTGTCACTGGATTTAGCAGCAACATGTGGATGCAGTGCAGTCAGAAAGGGAAAATTTGCCTAATAAAAAGAAACATGCAAATTGTTACACTCGAATGATAAACTGTTGTTAAGGTTAGTACGACTTCTACTCAAATTTATGTAAAATGTGTATGTGTTTACTACTCAGATGTCTGAAGTAGAAGCCAGCTGTAATAATACCTCAACACCTCTGACAGGAGAAACTGATTTGTAACCCGTCTGTTTACTTGCATGGAGCTGCTTGTTTATTAAGCTTCTATTATATGAAGAGGTCTTTGTTACCTCTGCCTTTCTGTCAAACAGGCGGGCAGGTGTTGTTGAGTCCATTTGTGCCGTTTTAATGTCAAGAAGTCCATGTTGCACATTGTTCTGGGAGCCTTTTGACCTTTTTATTTCTGTTTACAAATCAGTTAAACCATCAGTTCTAGGAAATCCTTATTTTACTGAAAACAAGACATAATTGAGCCACACATAATATGCACTAGGGCAAAGGGTTGACTTAAGTAGAGGCAAGAGTCAGACGTTATTTCACAAAACCCTGTTTGCAGAAACAATCGAGGAAAATCACCTCATATGTCAAAAATCGTGGCTGTGAGTGAAACTGGGTGTCTAGTTGCATGACTTATTGGTATTACTGGTTGTGCTTTATCCAGCAATACAAAGCTCTGTTTAACTCCACATGGCAGAGTTTCACAATAAACTGCATCCTGGATGACTGTTTTATAAGATCCCTCAGTTTTGTCTGTTGGATCTGAACCATAGTTTTGTGTTTCCTTTAGGCACTGGGAGGCCATTAAGAAGTGGGACGAGGCTATTCAGCTGACTCCAGACAACTCACCGCTGTATGAAATGAAGTCTCAGGTATAGTCGTTACTGTCATTTACCACAAACCTAATTTCTCAACATAACAATCTTGATAGAGTGCTAGACTTGTAAACATATTCTAGACTACTGTAGGAAAGTTTAAAAAAAAGTATCAAAATTTGTGCAAAAGAACACAAATGTACAAACCGGATTCCAAAAAAGTTGGGACACTAAACAAATTGTGAATAAAAACTGAATGCAATGATGTGGAGATGGCAAATGTCAATATTTTATTCGTAATATAACATAGATGACAGATCAAAAGTTTAATCTGAGTAAATGTAACATTTTAAAGGAAAAATATGTTGATTAAAAATTTCACAGTGTCAACTAATCCCAAAAAAGTTGGGGCAAGTAGCAATAAGTGGCTGGAAAAAGGAAATTGAGCATATAACGAACAGCTGGAAGACCAATTAACATGAATTAGGTCAATTGACAACATGATTGGGTATAAAAAGAGCTTCTCAGAGTGTCAGTGTCTCTCAGAAGCCAAGATGGTAAGAGGATCACCAATTCCACCATTGTTGCGCAGAAAGACAGTGCAGCAATACCAGAATGGTGTTACCCAGCGTAAAATAGCAAAGACTTTAAAGTTATCATCATCAACCGTGCATAACATCATCAAAAGATTCAGATAATCTGGAACAATCGCTGTGCGTAAGGGTCAAGGCCGTAAAACTCTACTGGATGCTCGTGATCTCCGGGCCCTTAAACGTCACTGCACCTCAAACAGGAATGCCACTGTCAAGGAAATAACAGAATGGGCTCAGGAATACTTCCAGAAAGCATTGTCAGTGAACACAATCCACCGTGCCATCCGCCGTTGCCAGCTGAAACTCTACAGTGCAAAGAGAAAGCCATTTCTAAGCAAGCTCCACAAGCTCAGACGTTTGCACTGGGCCAGGGGTCATTTAAAATGGAGTGTGGCAAAATGGAAGACTGTTCTGTGGTCAGATGAGTCACGATTTGAAGTTCTTTATGGAACACTGGGACGCCATGTCATCCGGACCAGAGAGGACAAGGATAGCCCAAGTTGTTATCAACGCTCCGTTCAGAAGCCTGCATCACTGATGGTATGGGGTTGCATGAGCGCTTGTGGCATGGGCAGCTTGCATGTCTGTAAAGGCACCATTAATGCAGAGAACTATGTTCAGGTTCTAGAACAACATATGCTCCCATCTAGACGTCATCTCTTTCAGGGAAGACCCTGCATTTTTCAACACGATAATGCCAGACCACATTCTGCAGCAATCACAACATCATGGCTACGTAGGAGAAGGATCCGGGTACTGAAATGGCCAGCCTGCAGTCCAGATCTTTCACCTGTAGAGAACATTTGGCGCATCATAAAGAGGAAGGTGCGACAAAGAAGGCCCAAGACGATTGAACAGTTAGAGGCCTGTATTAGACATGAATGGGAGAGCATTCCTATTTGTAAACTTGAGAAACTGGTCTCCTCTGTCCCCAGACGTCTGTTGAGTGTTGTAAGAAGAAGGGGGGATGCCACACAGTGGTAAAAATGGACTTGTCTCAACTTTTTGGGGATTTGTTGACGCCATGAAATTTGGAAACAACAGATTTTTCCCTTAAAATGATACATTCTCTCAGTTTAAACTTTTGATCTGTGATTTGTGTTCTATTCTGAATAAAATATTAGATGTTGGCACCTCCACATCATTGCATTCAGTTTTTATTCACAATTTGTTTATTGTCCCAACCTTTTTGGAATCCGGTTTTGTACTGACTTTAATTCTGCACATTCCTCTTAGTCAAAAGTATAAAATCTGGGAATTGAACATTAATCTTTTGATTCACAGCAACCGGGAAGCATTCCTTTAAGACTTACAAATTTAATCTTTATTAATAAAGAGCAGTGATTGATGTGCGTAATGTGTTAGATTCTGCAGTGTCCTTGTGGAGTTCAAGGATGTGATGAGCTACTTAAAGTTTTACATGGAATGGTGCAATATTTTCCACAGGCGTTGTCGTGAAATTATAGAAAAAGACCTCATGACTAACAGACAGTTGGAGTCATATCGTTGAATAAAAATCAAAGTTATTACCATGTGTTCCTAATTTAGGGATAAGAAGCACATCAGAGCTGCTCTGTTATATTGTCTTCTCTGTCATCTCTTTTTCATTGTCCTCCCTGTTTTTAGTTACTAAGAGCTATTTCTCCTTTTCTTCTATGCAGCTTTAAAAAAAGACAGAAAAGGTTTCTCCGTGCAGCACATGAAATTGCGAAGAAGTCCGGAGATGTAATCAGACAAAACGGAGCTCTTTCCATTATTATTTTTCATTTGTTGTAACTAACACAATAGAGACTCTTCTGGTAACCACAGTCATGCACGTCACATGGAGTACTGTTCTGCTAATATGATATTGTCCATTTCAGGATATTTGAGAAGGAAATCATTAGTGGAACAGGCCTGGAGAAACACTACCCCATAATTTTTCCTTTCTTGCCATGACTGATATAAACACAAACAGGCATCAGATTATTTTTGCTAAATCTGTAGTTTTGCAATTTATGTGCAGTATACAGTCCATTTAAGTTGTAGTTTTTCTTTTTGCATTCATAGACTGAAAAGGTCTGCGTTTAAAAATTTACACCACTGACTCAAATGACGCCTATGATGACAAAAACACTGACGCAGTTCTTCTCCCAGGGCTTTCTTCCAGTTTAATTCAGTCACTGAGCTCCACATTGCGTCATTCCTTATAACTGTCTGAAAGTCGGGTAATTGGTACAACTTCCACCACTTTGTTCTTTATGCTTCCAGCATCCAGGGCGTCCCTCGAATAATGACAAATGTCAGTTTTGGGCTCAAAGACCCTCTGGTCTTGGTGGGTTATCAGTGCATTGATCCATTTCAGGATCAGCTGGTATGAGACTAACTTGAATCAAAGTATTTTTATGGAGGGGATTGTTAATCACCGTTACATGTACCGGTAAGTACAAATAAATGCACAAGTTGATTCCATAGAGCAGGGGTCTGCAACCTTTACGATCAAAAGAGCCATTTTTACGTCTTTGTTCACTAAATTAAATGTGTCCGGAGCCGCAACAACCTGCTACAACTGTGGTTATCAACTTTAAGTTTGTTGGAGAAGACTTTTCTGTCCAGTAGTGGTGACCGTTTAAAACTAAACATATCTAATGATTTTTAACATTTATTGACTTTTTTACAATTTAAGACAAATGAAAAGATCTGGTTATTGTAAAGAGGGGAAATATATTTTTTTAATAAAAATATGAACTATGCAGAACTATGTAATTTTTTTTTATTGTGTAAAAAAAAATTAAGTATAGAAATAAAAAGTTAAAGTGAGTATTTGCAAAATAAATGACAGGAAAACCGCTAAAACTATTGCTGTTTGTATAACAACTAATAAAATTCAATTTTGTGTTTTGTTTTGCTCGAAGCTTGAAAGAGCCGCTACAGAGAGCCCAAAGAGCCGCAGGTTGCAGACCCCTGCCACAGAGGGATCGAAAACTCAAATGACTGCTTTTGTTTTTACGTACGGCACTTTAAGTTCAAATAGAGAAAGGGAGCAGAGATTTAGGATATTTAATTTTATACATATTCAAAACCAGTTTTGATTAGCTGTTGAACTTGATACAACTAGAGTACATGACCATCAATGTCCTGCCAACTTATTTTTATTTTGCCTGTTTATAATAATGTAAGGACACAGCTGTAGATGAGATTAACAGCTTTATTATCCATTTAAAATCATGCCATGTTCATTTATATATGATGTTTAAGGCACAATTATAGACGGTGTTCTTCATTAACTTGCATAGAAAAAACATTTAGGGGTTAGCGCTGTTGCCTCGCAACAAGACGGTCCTGGGCTCAGTTCCCTGTTTGGACCTGGGGTCTGCCTATGTGGAGTTTGCATGTTCTCCTCGTGTTTGCATGGGTTGTTTCCGGCTTCTCCGGTTTCCTCCCACAGTCCAAAACATGCATGTCAGGCTGCCTGCAGGTCCAGGCCTCCCTTACCTAAAGATGTGTGGTCTTGATGAGATTTGTCTGATGAAATAAAGGATAAAAATAAATAAATGCATAAAAAAATCTGACCTTTGATAAATATTGGGACATGAGGATATTTATTTTAAACTCTTGTTTTGCTGATCCACGTCCATTGTTAGAAACGATTCCTTGTTTGTGTTCAACGTAATTCTGGCAATTAAAAAAAAATCACATTAACACGATGTCCTCTTCTTCCTTTAGCTCCTTTTGTTATGATTGTATCCGTGTTGTTTCTGACCCGTATGCAGGCGTGAAGTCTTTCCGTGTGTGCTCCGTCTGCAGGTGCTGACCATTCTGCACGAAGTGTTTCCAGCTGTGAAGGCGGCGGAGATGGCTGTGAAGTTCCAGCCGCTGTGGTGGGAGGGCTGGCAGACACTGGGCCGAGCACAGCTCAGCCTGGGTGAGGTAGACCTGGTGAGTAGGAGATGATGTGGACCAAAAAAAAACAGAACAAATGCTGAGAAACTGGTGGCAAACCCAAACCTGACCAATATTTTTAGCTCTCAGCTTGAAGGTGACGTGATTAACAGTAAAAACGTTGCATGGCTGTGGATATTTTGCCTAAAGGAGCATACCGTCATTATACAGGTCTCCATTTTACCAACATATAGAGCTAACCAAGAGTTTTCAATGGAATACCATACATGCAGGCATATTTAATCTTTTTTTTTTTAGTTTGTTGCCTGTAAATCAGTAGCCTCAGCTTTTAAGACGCTGTTAAAAGCTATTAAAAAAACAACTTTATAGTTTTTTTTGTTTTTCGGGGGAGCTCCCAGCCTCTGCGATGACTCAGTTGCCTGGGGATCGGACGATTGCTTAAACTGCCTCAAAACACGCCGGGACCTGTAGGTGTACAAAAACTGCAGAGCAGTTACATTGTCCCCCCCCCACTCCCCCACTCTGAAAGACAAACAACCCGACCTTCAGGCTAACGTCGCTCAAGAGCACCTTAGAGCGGGAGACCTGTCCAACGGCACCAAAACCCAACAATGGGAAGTGTTGAAATGACTTGAGCTAAAATGTCCTCAAACAGAACCACACCTCCTTCCATAAAGAAGCTCGTTGCAATGAAAGAACAAGCGTCTATTTTTAGTGCGACTTGTTCGGTCGAGTTTTTAAGCGTCGTGTGCACCAACATGTTGGAGTTGCATTTCTACCGACACGAAGCTGCCCCGTTCCTGCCTTGTTTTATTTCCCGTTAAAGGTTATTTGGTTTTGGGGTTTTTTAAAAAAAAAAAAAAAAAAAAAAACATTTATCATCTTTATTATGACAAAGTCTGTTTGGTCATGCCTTCTCTGTGGAAGTGTTTCAAACAGAATCAGATGTTTTGGTTATTGTTAGTTTATTTATTTTTTTTGTTAGGAATTTGTGTCGGAGACAGATGCAGGTTGTTTCGTTACAGATGAGGAATGTGAGGGGAACATTAACCACTGAAAGGTTGGAGCAAAGAAACGTTCAGTTTTGCTTAAACTTTAAACGAATGATCTCCGTTTGTAAAAAGATGCACTCGCCTGCACATCAACCACACGTTCTTGTAGCCGTCGTCAAGCTTCTAGCACAGAGGTCTGCAACCTTTTTGACCAAAAGAGCCATTTCTGCCCCTTCGCTGTCTAAATAAAACATGTCTGGAGCCACAAAACCTGCTACAACTGTGATTTATCAACTGATGGCTCATGGGCCACTGAGTTTGTTGGAAGGGGGGCTTTTCTGGACAGTTGAGGTGACATTATAAAACTAAAATTATATCATGAATTTTAAGATTTATTGATATTTTTACATTTTAAGACAACAAAAAGACCATATCACGTAAAGAAGAAAAACAATTGTAGTTTAAACTGATTTTGATGAAAATAAAACACTGAACGCTGCAGGCCTATGTGAGGAATTATGAGTAAGTATCAGGCAGGGCCACAGTAGCTCAGGGACCAGTGCCCCTGTCGTGCAATCCTGAGGTTGTGGGTTCGAGCCCAGGTTGTGCCAGGAAGGGCATCTGGCGTACAACAAATTGCCAAATATTTCATGCGAGTGGTGACCCCTGAAGAAGGGAGCAGCTGAAAGACACCAAGTTATTTACCACTGCAACAACTTCCTGCGGGATCAATAAAGTTCTTATCTTATCTTACTAGTAGTTATTGGGCAAAAATTGACAATAAAACTACTCAAACTAACCTTTTCTGTTGTGGGTATAAAAATCAATACAATTAAATTTCATTAAGTTTTGGTCAAAGCTTCAAAGAGCCACTGATGAGGGACTGAAGAGCCACATGTGGCCCCAGAGCCACAGGTTGCAGACCCCTGGTCTAGCAGAACTGGACATTTGACTTCCCTTTGAGGCAGAATTAGTAGAGTTGATTTATATTGGTTGGTTTCCTGGCACTGATCCAGCTTTAAAGTCTAGTCCACACATCTTCAATAGGGTTTAGGAAGGCCACCCCAGAAGCTTAATGATGGTCCGCTTCATCCAGTCAGAAACCAGTTCTGGTGTTTGTTTGGGATCAGTGTCCTGTAGGAACACCCAGCAGAGTCCAAGTTTCACTTGTCTTTCTGAAGACCTAAAGTGAAGGTATGCGTTGTTTAATCCGTCCACCCCTGGACAAAGAATGCTTCAAATAAATCAACAATAAAATAATGCACGAAATAAAAACAATAACCAATATTAAATATTAATAGAAAATGCCAAGACGTCCTTATTTTTTGTTACTTTGAGAGCAAGATACCATATTTTCCGGCGTATAAGTCGCATCAGTCAAAAAAAGCATCATGAAGAGAAGAAAAACATACAAGTCACGTTTATTA